TACTCAGCTACTCTCTTCCCTAGCCTACAGCTACTCAGCTACTCTCTTCCCTAGCCTACAGCTACTCAGCTACTCTCTTCCCTAGCCTACAGCTACTCAGCTACTCTCGTCCCTAGCCTACAGCTACTCAGCTACTCTCGTCCCTAGCCTACAGCTACTCAGCTACTCTCTTCCCTAGCCTACAGCTACTCAGCTACTCTCTTCCCTAGCCTACAGCTACTCAGCTACTCTCTTCCCTAGCCTACAGCTACTCAGCTACTCTCTTCCCTAGCCTACAGCTACTCAGCTACTCTCTTCCCTAGCCTACAGCTACTCAGCTACTCTCTTCCCTAGCCTACAGCTACTCAGCTACTCTCTTCCCTAGCCTACAGCTACTCAGCTACTCTCTTCCCTAGCCTACAGCTACTCAGCTACTCTCTTCCCTAGCCTACAGCTACTCAGCTACTCTCTTCCCTAGCCTACAGCTACTCAGCTACTCTCTTCCCTAGCCTACAGCTACTCAGCTACTCTCTTCCCTAGCCTACAGCTACTCAGCTACTCTCTTCCCTAGCCTACAGCTACTCAGCTACTCTCTTCCCTAGCCTACAGCTACTCAGCTACTCTCTTCCCTAGCCTACAGCTACTCAGCTACTCTCTTCCCTAGCCTACAGCTACTCAGCTACTCTCTTCCCTAGCCTACAGCTACTCAGCTACTCTCTTCCCTAGCCTACAGCTACTCAGCTACTCTCTTCCCTAGCCTACAGCTACTCAGCTACTCTCTTCCCTAGCCTACAGCTACTCAGCTACTCTCTTCCCTAGCCTCCAGCTACTCTGTTACTCTCGTCCCTAGCCTACAGCTACTCAGCTACTCTCTTCCCTAGCCTACAGCTACTCAGCTACTCTCTTCCCTAGCCTACAGCTACTCAGCTACTCTCTTCCCTAGCCTACAGCTACTCAGCTACTCTCTTCCCTAGCCTACAGCTACTCAGCTACTCTCTTCCCTAGCCTCCAACTACTCTGTTACTCTCGTCCCTAGCCTACAGCTACTCAGCTACTCTCTTCCCTATCCTACAGCTACTCAGCTACTCTCTTCCCTAGCCTACAGCTACTCAGCTACTCTCTTCCCTAGCCTACAGCTACTCAGCCCACTCAGTTCCAGAGGGGCGGCATCCTTGAGGTTTGGGGGTCCAGGATCTCCGGCTCTCCTCCTTCAGCTTCTCCTCCGATCGACCCCTCCGCTCTCCGGGAGCCGTCTTATATCTCCCCTCTCTCTGAGGGGCGGGGGTGTCTCGGGCCCTGGCTCTCGCCAGCCCCCTCCCCTCAGAGCCGTTCCAACTACCTCTCGTCCCTGTCAATCCGGGCCGGTCCAGACCGGTACGTACCTCTCCCCTAGCTTGTGTCAACCTTGGTGTCAACCTTGACCACCACGCATGTAACACACTTGACAATAAAGTGACTTTAAGACTTTAAGACTTTAAGAAAGGGTTCATGACAACGCATGACAGCGAGTGACTGTAATCATGTTAACAGGCAAGGATTCGTATTCTTAGGTTTTTTCGGTAAAGTCACCGTGTAGGTAAAAACATCAAAATTAATGAAAATAAAATAAAACAAAAAATCACGACGTTTCGGAGGCAACACAAGTCTCCGTCATAAGGTGGGACCGTCACAGCCAGATTAGCTGTATCAAGTGAGGCAATTATTCAAGATGTAATCCCTTATAAGCAAGTTGAAGGGGGGGAGGAGAGGGGGGGGGCTCATCATTGGCTACCACATTCTGATGAGCTCCCCCCCCCCTCTTCTCCCCCCCCCCCTTCAACTTGCTTATAAGGGATTACATCTTGATAAGGGATTACATCTTGAATCATTGCCTCACTTGATGCAGCTAATCCGGCTGTGACGGTCCCACCTGATGACGGAGACTTGTGTTGCCTCCGAAACGTCGTGATTTTTTGTTTTATTTTATTTTCATTAATTTTGATGTTTTTACCTACACGGTGACTTTACCGAAAAAACCTAAGAATATGAATCCTTGCAGTCACGAAAGCTTCAAATCTAGAACAGACAAGGATGTGTGTGTGTGTGACACGCATCAAACAACCACTTATAGCAACAGCAGCAGCGGCAGCGGATTTGACAAGCGGCTGTAGACTATTATTTTGGATATTTGACAACAGGCCGCGAGTTATTTTGTAACAGGTCCCTGCGGGGGGGCTGGTAGGAACGAATAACCAAAGAATATAAACATAATGTATTATTACACTTGTTTAGCCAGGAAAGCCCCACTGAGTCTAAAGGTTTTTGTAGGGTCCTGCCAAGTGTTTGCAGTAGGGGGCGATGTTGCTACACCTAATCGGACATCGGACGGACGGACGATATAATCTATTGCAGGCTGGTTCACTTCGTTCCTACCAGTAAAACAAATTAATAAGCAGACAAACAATTGTGCAGATGTAGAACTCGTACTCGTGTTGTCTTTCTCGTCCCGTTTATTTGCTCCTCGAGGTCCACGCCTTCTCCTCATCGCCGCTCCGTGGCCACCCGTTCGCCCCGCCACGCCATCCGCCATCAGCGGCGCTCTGTGTCCCTCCGCTCTCTCTCCAGCTCTCCCAGAGTCCTTCGCTCCGCTGCTACCCAGCTCCGTATCTTCTCTGATGCACTGCTGCCACTGCTGCCACTGCTACCGCTGCTGCCGCTGCTGCCGCTGCTACCACTGCTGCTGCTGCTACCGCTGCTACCACTGCTACCACTGCTACTACTGCTACCACTGCTACCGCTGCTGCCACTGCTACCGCTGCTGCCACTGCTGCCACTGCTACCACTGCTGCCACTGCTACTACTGCTGCCGCTGCTACCACTGCTGTCACTGCTACCACTGCTACTACTGCTGCCGCTGCTACCACTGCTGTCACTGCTACCACTGCTACCCCTCACTCTGTCTCCTCTATCCGCGGCTACCGTACTTGACCTGTCTCTCTCCGCTGTTACTCTTATATCGTATCTCTCTCTTGCTAGCCCGGGCACCATCCCTCCAGCTCCCCATCCCTCCAGCTCCCACCAAGACTCCGACCAAGACCCCCCCTCTCTCTCTCTGTTGCGCTGTGCCTTTTAGACCCACCCCAATCAGTCCCTGTTCACCCACCCCCCGATTACCCCTCGGCCCCCAGGCCCCCAGCCTCACGTGACGTTGTTGTTCCCGCCAGAGCGACGCCAACTCGTTCATCACTCACCCTCTCAACCAATCACCGGCCTGTGTCCCCTTCTTCTTCTTTAGTGCTGCCTAACGGCGTGTGCGACTTCACGATGACATTGGTCCCGGTCTAGCACGGCGTGTAGAGTTTGTGCTGCTGTTGTTAATTGTAGCCATGTTTTGATGTTACTGAGCCATGTCGTTTTTGGCCGTCCTGGTCGTTTTTTCCCTTCGATTTTTCCTTCCAGGATTTGCTTTAATAGCTGGCATTTGTGGTCGTTTCGGGCAATGTGGCCTAGGTAGCAGAGGTGTGGACTCGAGTCATGTGACTTGGACTCGAGTCAGACTCGAGTCATGAATTTGATGACTTCAGACTCGACTTGGACTTGCATAACAATGACTTTGTCCCACCTCTGAGGTGTGGACTCGAGTCATGTGACTTGGACTCGAGTCAGACTCGAGTCATGAATTTGATGACTTCAGACTCGACTTGGACTTGCATAACAATGACTTTGTCCCACCTCTGAGGTGTGGACTCGAGTCATGTGACTTGGACTCGAGTCAGACTCGAGTCATGAATTTGATGACTTCAGACTCGACTTGGACTTGCATAAAAATGACTTTGTCCCACCTCTGCTAGGTAGTAACACTTCCTGCTAATGATGGTCTTCAGCAGTTGCCTGTCAGTGCCCATATCTTGCACAACTTGTATATTGGTGGTTTGGCTGTCCATCATGGGATTTTCAGCATCCTTCGATACAGCCACATCTCGAAAGCTTCGAGCCTTTTTGTTGCTGTTGTTGTCAGTGTGCACGTCTCTACTCCGTACAGCAAAATTGACCAGATGTAGCATTTGCCCTTAACAGCTGTGACGCCACTTAACGCGTCTCCCCTCACGCCTCAGCAACAGCAACATCATCGTCTTCAAATACCCCCACTGTGCACTTGCTTGTCTGCCTCGCAACAGACCCACAGAGCGCGTGGCGCGTGTGTTTCAGGTCCTACACAGATGATTGAGCAGTTTTGCTATTTTTTTTTGCATAATGCACATGCATATGTAGTAGCAATCACATTCCTGCATTTCCCATAAATATGCTAAATTCCTATTGATATGCAAATTCCTTTGTCAAGGCGCCCAGCTTATATACATGCTCCAAGCTCGTGTGCTGTTTCATTCAGACGCTGTCGCCTCGGCGGACCTGGTTTTCACCTGAGGACGGCTGCTTGCGTTGTGGCCGAAACGTCGTGAAAATTATTGTTTTGTGTTTTATTTTTATTATTTTATTATTTCCCTTCTACGTGATGACTTTACCGAAAGAACCAAGAAGAAGAAAACTGTTTTGCCATTTTGATTTAAAGCTTTCGTGACTGCAGGGATTCATCTTCTTGGTTCTTTTGGTAAAGTCACCACGTAGAAGGGAAGTAATAAAATAATAAAAATAAAAAATAATAAAATTATTCTCACGACGTTTCGGCCACAACGCAAGCAGCCGTCCTCAGGTGAAAACCAGGTCCGTCGAGGCGACAGAGTCTGACTCTGTGAGAATAATTTTATTATGTTTTATTTTTATTATTTTATTACTTCCCTTCTACGTGACTTTACCGAAATAACCAATAAAACAGTTTTGCCATGTTTGGTGGTCATCAAATACTGATTTGACCCTGTAATGGATGTGCGTTTAGTGTCAGGGCAGACTTGGGAGCTCATTGTGCGTGTTTATCGTGCAGTAGATGCGGGATCTGACGGAGGGTGGAATTCTTTTACAATTCTGTGTAGCGGCATCAACGGTGTTGGCCACGATGACATCTTGATCTTTGACCTTCTTTACAGGTGACGCTCATCTCAAGCTGTCGAGAGTACAAAGACATCGCACTCCGCGTCAATGAAAAGAAAGCCCTGAACACATTGAACGTGGTCAAAAAGCACATCATACGGTAACAATCGGTGACACATCGCAAAATAAACATTAGCATCGTCGTAAAGAATGGGGGAAAATAATAAGCGTACAATATACCTCCTTCACATACAGTGAGGGAAAAAATTAACCCGTAAAAACAAAGTTTTTCACTATAAATCCTTTATATGCGTGGCGGCTAGAGTCCTCTCGTCCTCTGGCTTGAGATGGCTGCCACCTATGGGTCAGATGATTGCCTGCCAGCATTAAGCAATTGGTAATTTAATATAATACATTTTTTCCTAAAAAGTGTAAAATTTAGGAAAAAAATTTTACGAAAATAAATTGTCACGCACAACGAGTGTGTGTGGAAAATGTCAGCTCGATTGGATCACGGGAAGTGGGTTAAAAAACGACCGAAAGATTTGCACGGTCGTAAGCGCGCAAGCAAGCAAGCGAGTGAACTTAATATAAAGGATTTAAAAAGTATTTGATCCCCTGATGATTTTGTACGTTTGCCCACTGACAAAGAAATGATCAGTCTGTAATTTTAATGGTAGGTTTATTTGAACAGTGAGAGACAGAATAACAACAAAATAATCCAGAAAAGCGCATGTCAAAAATGTTATAAACTGATTTGCATTTTAATGAGGGAAATAAGTATTTGACCCCCTCTCAATCAGAAAGATTTCTGGCTCCCAGGTGTCTTTTATACAGGTAAGGGGCTGAGATTAGGAGCACACTCTTAAAGGGAGTGCTCCTACTCTCAGCTTGTTACCTGTATAAAAGACACCTGTTCACAGAAGCAATCAATCAATCAGATTCCAAACTCTCCAAATAAACCCAACATTAAAATTACAGACTCATCATTTCTTTGTCAGCGGGCAAACGTACAAAATCATCAGGGGATCAAAGACTTTTTTCCCTCCTCACTGTAACAAGCTGAGATTAGGAGCACTCCCTTTAAGAGTGTGCTCCTAATCTCAGCTCGTTACCTGTATAAAAGACACCTGGGAGCCAGAAATCTTTCTGATTGAGAGGGGGTCAAATACTCATTTCCCTCATTAAAATGCAAATCAATTTATAACATTTTTGACATGCGTTTATCTGGATTTTGTTGTTGTTATTCTGTCTCTCACTGTTCAAATAAACCTACCGTTAAAATTACAGACTCATCATTTCTTTGTCAGCGGGCAAACGTACTACATCAGCAGGGGATCCAATACTTTTTTCAAATCAATTTATAACATTTTTGACATGCGTTTCTCTGGAGTTTGTTGTTGTTATTCTGTCTCTCACTGTTCAAATAAACCTACCGTTAAAATTATAGACTCATCATTTCTTTGTCAGTGGGCAAACGTACTACATCAGCAGGGGATCAAATACTTTTCCCCCCCTCACTGTATCTGTCCATCCACATGAAATAATGCAGACACGTGACACTTCCTATCAGCCGCCACGTGGAGTTGTGGGAGTGCATCATCTCAGCAGACTTGGTTCCACGCAAGCAAACTCTGGACTGGTGTTGACATTTCGTGTCTCATCAGCAGTCACTTTTGTTTAAACCAATGTAGGTGAATTGCCATTTGTAAATATACAATTATACATAATGTGTGTTGGCAAAGTTACATTACAATAAATTGCAATTTTTAAATGGTATATTTGGTCAGTTTGAAGAATGTTAGGTATTTTTAAAAATCCTTTATATTAAGTTCACTTGCTTGCTTGCTTGCGCGCTTACGACCGTGCAAATCTTTCGGTCGTTTTTTAACCCACTTCCCGTGATCCAATCGAGCTGACATTTTGCACACAGACTCGTTGTTGTGTGACAATTAATTTTCGTGAAATTTTTTTTCCAAAATTTTACACTGTTTAGGGAAAACAAATTAAATATTTAATTACCAATTGCTTAATACTGGCAGACAATCATCTGACCCATAGGTGGCAGCCATCTCAAGTCAGAGGACGAGAGGACTCTAGCCGCCACGCATATAAAGGATTTAGAGTGAAAAACTTTGTTTTTACGGGTTATACTTATTTTAAATCCTTTATATTAAGTTCACTTGCTTGCTTACGACCGTGCAAATCTTTCGGTCGTTTTTTAACCCACTTCCCGTGATCCTATCGAGCTGACATTTTGCGCACAGACTCGTTGTGCGTGACAATTTATTTTCGTGAAAATTTTTTTCCAAAATTTTCCACTTTTTAGGGAATTTTTTTTCATATTTAATTTAAATACCAATGTGATAAAAATGAAACTCTTACTAAAAAAAAAACAGAAATGAATAATAAAATAAAACCGATGCCACGCATATAAAGGATTTATAGTGAAAAACTTTGTTTTTACGGGTTAATTTTTTAAGATCCTGTGTTAATGTCATTACATCTTTGGAATAAAAATACAGAACCTACACTACTGGAATCATGTTGAAAGTTTCATATCAAATGTTTTATCGGTCTAAAATTTGTATTATAATTAATTTAAACAAAAGGTTTCTCGGATAGTGAAACATCAGGTGAGAAAACATTAACATATTTGAGACAATAGTAGTTGTTAATGTATTACGTATTTCAAAATATTGTATGGATAAACGAATGGGGTTTAAGTCGGTATGAGCACATGTTTAGTGTATATTGTATATTGGGTGTGTATTAGTTATTTGTATAAACCATTATGAGTGAGTCTGAATGCTTATATCATTTCAGATTTCCAATGCCCGGTAAAATAAAAACCAGTGAAATGAAAATCAACTGGTAGGTACAGCTATGGTTTCAATGCTCCTGTTAAGATAGCACATGCGTTTACATTTGGAGTTGGTTATGAACTTTATTTCTCGTTAGCAACACGACTTCGTGTTTAGACCTTCTTGGTTCTTTCGGTAAAGTCACGTAGAAGGGAAGTAATAAAATAATAAAACATAATAAAATAAAATAATTCTCACGACGTTTCGGCTACAACGCAAGCGGCCGAAACGTCGTGAGAATTATTCTATTATGTTTTATTTTTATTATTTTATTACTTCCCTTCTACGTGACTTTACCGAAAGAACCAAGAAGATGAATCCCTGCAGTCACGAAAAAAGCTTTAAATCGAAAAATTCGTGCTTAGAGTTTTAACGTTCTACACATTTGCAGATTATTATACATTTTAATTGGAGAGCCTTCAAGATGTATTGACACTCACTTTAACACTCGAAACTGCGTCTATATTGCAAAAACAGTGTGTTCAAGTGGAGAATTCTGCTTTGCTACACAATTGAAATGATGCTTTGTTTGTAGTCTCATTCAAGCTCAGCTGGGATGTGTCCTCGTGCAAGATTTTGCGTTGATACAGGACACTGCGAAAATCTTCAGGACTGGAATCAGACTTACAAAATGTCAGTTTCAACTGCACCATTAAAACAAATGCACTTTGTTTCCGGAGCTAACGTTTAAAAGCACGGCAGTATTTATATCTATCTTCTCCAACCATTATATAAACGGAGTGGTAGCTCTTGCAATCTCTCATGTACTTGATACGGCTGCCGTGGCTGTGACGGTTCCACCTGAAGATGGAAGCTTGTGTTGCCTCCGAAACGTCGTGATTTTTATTTTATTTTACTATTTTATGTTTTTTACCTACACGGTGACTTTACCTAAGAATATGAATCATTGCAGTCACGAAAGCTTCAAATCTAGAAGTATTAATATCTGTTGTAACTCCGTTTTGCGTTTGTAGGTCTCGCCGAATTTTTGCAACAAAAGGATAAACGGAATAACTTCCAGGCCGTGCTGAATGCAGTCCAACTCACGAAATGTTTTCGTGCAAAGCTTTGGGAGAATTCACCTTTCGTTTTAAAACAACTTGAAAAAATCGGTAAATGATCGTCCCTTTTACGTATAAAAGGCAATACGTACGCAATGATTGACAACCACGAAATTCTATTCATAAGACCCTTCAATTAGACGCGACTTAACCTCAGTGTGTTTCTGCTGTAGGCTTCTCAATGTCCAGCGCACTGGTCAATGCTGGATTGACATCTTTTGAGAAAATTGAAAACACTCATGGACGGGAAATTGAGTTGGTGAGATCATGGGTTCATCGTCTTGGTTCTTTCGGTAAAGTCGTCACGTAGAAGGGAAATAATAAAATAATAAAAATAAAACATTATAAAATAATTCTCACGACGTTTCGGGCCACAACGCAATTTGAATAGTAAGGAGCTGCAGATGAATCTGAAGATGAATGCCTGCAGTCACGAAAGCTTTAAATCGAAATGTGTCAACAGCGCAAAAGGCGTACAGCTCACAGACTATTCTGCGCTATCAAAGTAACGAGGGCTCGGGGTGAGCATCTACATCATTAGACCTCCTCTGGTCTGGCACCAATTGAGGCGAGGCTCAAAAGAAAGCCGTCTCTGGTGTGGACCAATCGGTTCCAAGGGCAATGCATCATATTATCAGAGTGTGTGTTTTTGTTTGCATGTTGACCACAAGCAGGGGCGGTTTCTTCATTAGGGCGATTGGGCGACGCACCACCAATCTCATTCAACCACAGAGTCACGCTAGCCGTCACTGCAGCCTCTGGATATAGTCCAATCAGCGTAATGTCACGTTCTGTGGAGTACCGCCTCTTTTTGGGCGATTTCACTCCGGCTGAGAATCGCCCCGAGTGGCCCCATAGACTTACATTCAAAGATGTTCTTTTCGAACGGGGGCGCTGCAATGCATTCTCTATGGCTCCGGGAGGGCTCGCCCTAACGTGCTTACGTCATCATACGTCAGCACGTTTCAGTCAACAATATAATTTGTCGCCACCTAGTGGAATCTTTAATAAAAGAAACTGAGTGGATTGTAATAATAGTGAGTATAGAAACAAACAAGATGTATTGTAAGAGTCACTTTATTTGTCATTAATATTAAAGAAGTGAAGTTGCCTTTACCTGCTTAAGCTGTTAATTTATCCATTGCATGGGTGGACCTTATCCTTATCAATCATCCAGACATTTGCCCCCCCTGGGAGATTTTGCAGGAGCCGCCACTGACCACAAGTATTGTGGTGAATGCACCACGTGATTCCTCGTAAAAAGGTTTCAGTTTTGTTGCCAGAAAAAAGGGGGAAACACTTTTATTATAATTATAACGCATTATAATCGTCAGCCTTCCTTAATAATAGTAACACCAGCCAATAACGAGTGCATTTCTTGTTTGTAAACAACATCATTGGAACCTCATTTGCCAGTAAAAATATGATAATTGTTTTTTTACCCTTCTATCTGGCAACAAAACTGACACCTTTTTTTTACTCCTTGTCAAAAAAAAGGTGTCCGTTTTGTTGCCAGATAGAAGGGTAAAACACCAATTATGTAAACAACATTTCAACAAAACTCAAATGATGTTTTTGCTGGTGGTGTATTCCTGCATTGTGCAGATAGTGAACAGACACCCTCCATTTGGGAACCAGATGAAAGACGCCGTTCAGCATCTTCCCAAGTACCAAGTCAGCATGGTGCAGGTAGATGAGTCTGAGCCCTCATCATACGTAAGCACGTTTCAGTCAACAATATTATTTGTCGCCACCTAGTGGAATCTTTAATAAAAGAAACTGAGTGGATTGTAATAATAGTGAGTATAGAAACAAGATGTATTGTAAGAGTCACTTTATTTGTCATTAATATTAAAGAAGTGAAGTTGCCTTTACCTGCTTAAGCTGTTAATGTATCCATTGCATGGGTGGAGCTTATCCTTATCAATCATCCAGACATTTGCCCCCCCTGAGAGATTGTGCAGGAGCCGCCACTGCTGCTGACTACAGTGGGGCAAGTGGCCGTTGGCTTTTAGAATGTTGCTACATCTTCTTGGTTCTTTCGGTAAAGTCACGTAGAAGGGAAATAATAAAATAATAAAAATAAAACTTAATAAATAATAATTCTCACGACGTTTCGGCCACAACGCAAGCAGCCGTCCTCAGGTGAAGAACAGGTCTGTCGGAAAGACAGCGTCTGAAGCAGACAGACCTGTTCTCCACCTGAGGACGGCTGCTTGCGTTGTGGCCGTAACGTCGTGAGAATTGTATTTTATTGTGTTTTATTTTTATGACTTTATTATTTCCCTTCTACGTGACTTTACCGAAAGAACCAAGAAGATGAATCTCTGCAGTCACGAAAGCTTTAAATCGACATGTTGCTACAATTTTTCTGTGTTTTGTTAAGTGTTTTTTCCCGAGGTTTTAAATGAAGAAATCGACTAATTAACTTTTATCTTCACCTTAGTAAAAGTCAATTTCATATTCTTAGGTTTTTTCGGTAAAGTCACGTAGGTAAAAAATTAAAATTAATAAAAGTAAAATAAAAATAAAATAAAAATCACGACGTTTCAGAGGCAACACAAGCCTCCGTTTCCACCTGAAGACGGAGTTTTGTGTTGCCTCCGAAACGTCGTGATTTCCATTTTATTTTTATTTTTATTAATTCCAATTTTTTTACCTACGTGACTTTACCAAAAAAACCTAAGATTATAAATCCGTGCAGTCACGAAAGCTTCAAATCTAGAAAAGTCAATTTAATTTCATGGCTTGCTAAGCTTTGCCTATCATCAATTCAGAATAGCGCTGGTTGCTGTTTGTCCCCCCAGGGTCACCGGCACTACAAGGCTGTGGCTGAGGTGATGATCACAGTGGTTCTGAAGAACTTTGCGGAGCTGCAGTCCCAGCGCACAGCTCCGGACAGCCACATCTGCACGCTGCTGATGGGCAACTCCGACAACAACCTCGTCCACCGGCAAATCATCACGTGCGCTCACATTCCACATCGCAGTAATTGTGACAAGGCCACGTGTGTTTGATGTTGAATATGTAATAACACGCTGGAGACGGCTTGTAGAATCGGTCCTTTTATTTCACTTTCTTTGCAGTTCACAAACACTCCCCGTTGCTGGCAGGCAACGGGAAGCGGGCAGACAGCCACCAGAGGCACACCACCACGTGGCACCCGGAGCCCCACTCGCGCGTGGCCTCTCCCCCTCTCTTAGTTCTGTGTTTGACCCCGTGTCTCTCCTCTCTCCCCTTATTTAACGCCTGGGTCACGTGGTACCCTCCAGCCAATCCTCAATAGCCTGCGCCGAATGTTCCAGATTCCCCATCAACTCCCGGGACCACGCCCCTGACTTGTCTTCCCATTGGCTGAGGCCAAGACCAGCAGAACCAATCACCTAGATTCCCCATCAACTCCCGGGACCACGCCCCTGACTTGTCTTCCCATTGGCTGAGGCCAAGACCAGCGAAACCAATCACCTAGCTGACATCCCGTGATCACGCCGTGGCCATGCTCCCAGGCTCTTCCCCCATTGGCTGTAAAGCGGGACCGGCCAAGTCGATCACCATGTGAATCTGACATAGGCTCTTATTACAAATAGAACAAAATCTTCATTAGCCTGATCATTTGAGAGGCAGACATCGCACCTGCTTGCTTTGACATTCCTCAAAGACACCGGTGAACCATCGACCGCATCACAACATCAACAGGGCAATGTGCTATCAACAACAAGGCAACTCCTACGACTAATTGGGAATGGGACACAAGCGTAGGATTGATCGCCCTGTCGCTGGCCGCCTTTGGGGAGAGTGTATCGTGTGAAAGGCCGAAACACCCTAGGAACCAAAGGTTCACTACTGACGATGCGCTCCCCAAATGTCACCAGGCTCACTGTTCGTGAACTCTTGGAAGTGCTTGCACAAAGGATAGTAACATCTCATCCTGTGTTCTTTGGAATCAGTGCGACGAGTGGCCATGTAACCCAAACTATGGAGCAGAAGTAAACCCCTGTGGCCTGCTCGCCTTCAAGTAGAACAGCTACGCAAACTCGCTCCTTAAGCTCTCGTGGCTATCAGATCTCGACATGGCATTTAGCTCCTCCTGAACATGCGGCAATATAAAGGAATAGAACACAACAATAATTAGCATCATATTCAAGTCAATGTAACACAATACACGAGCAGGGATTACGCCTCGTTCCTATACGTCAACAACATTGTTCCTCTTCTTGGTTCTTTCGGTAAAGTCACGTAGAAGGGAAGTAATAAAATAATAAAAATAAAACACAATAAAATAATTCTCACGACGTTTCGGCCACAACGCAAGCAGCCGTCCTCAGGTGAAGAACAGGTCTGTCGAGGCGACCTGCAGTCCCAGCGCAGACTCTGAGGACGGTTGCTTGCGTTGTGGCCGAAACGTCGTGAGAATTGTTTTATTATGTTTTATTTTTATTATTTTATTACTTCCATTCTACGTGATGACTTTACCGAAAGAACCAATAAGATGAATCCCTGCAGTCACGAAAGCTTTAAATCGAAACATTGTTCCTAGAAACAAATATTCAAATTTTAAATGCACTTGTTACTGGCGAAATTAATAACAATCGCCCGTTTATTGATAGGGCCTTTTCATCCGGGGTGTCTATGAACGCAGTGAGCGACTGACGTTACGTCTCAGACACATTTAAATGGGCACCCCCAGTGACAGCTGCCCCTGTGGACACAAGGAGATTCAGAAGCCGGCCTGCACTTGGGCATGAGGTTGCCAGTCGGGGGGGGGGGGGGATGGTTCATATTCTTAGGTTTTTTCGGTAAAGTCACGTAGGTAAAAAATTTAATTAAAATGGTTGCTGTGTGTACTTCCAATTGAGTAATTTTTAGGTATTTTTATTTTATTTGTCAACGAGTAGAACTGGTCTACTCGTATTCTTAGGTTTTTTCGGTAAAGTCACGTAGGTAAAACATTAAAAAAGTAAAATAGAATAAAAATCACGACGTTTCGGAGGCAACACAAGCTTCCGTCTTCAGGTGGAACCGTCACAGCCACGACAGCTGCATCAAGTAGATGAGAGATTGCAAGAGCTACCACTCCGTTTATATAATGGTTTGGAGAAGGTGGTGGGGCAATGGCCGCATACTTTTTATCAATATGGTAAGGTGAGGCTTGAGAGGGTGAGCCTTTGTTACGGAGAGGTACTAGAATGTTCTACTCGTTGTGAATGTCAGAAATCTTGAACGTCGGGTGCAACACGGCGCACACATTTCATCACTGAGATACCTACGGCAATAGCAAGTTATGGAAGCTACGCGCGCACCAATGTGACCTTCGCAGAGACGACATGCTGCTGAGAACGGGGAGTTGGATGAAGAAGCTGGAAGTTGTTCGGCCGGAAAAAAGTGACAAGCTCGACATCCACCTTCTCAGCTCGACGTACGGTACGTCCCGGGGCTGCCACCTCGTCCACAGACTGCACCAGGTCATCGTTCTCAGTCAGCCTTGGTCAGGAGTCAGTTTCAGAGCCGCATGCAGCTTTCCACAGACTACACCAGGTCATCGTTCTCAGTCAGCCTTGGTCAGGAGTCAGTTTCGGAGCCGCATGCAGCTGTCCACAGACTACACCAGGTCATCGTTCTCAGTCAGCCTTGGTCAGGAGTCAGTTTCAGAGCCGCATGCAGCTGTCCACAGACTGCACCAGGACATCGTTCTCAGTCAGCCTTGGTCAGGAGTCAGTTTCAGAGCCGCATGCAGCTGTCCACAGACTACACCAGGACATCGTTCTCAGTCAGCCTTGGTCAGGAGTCAGTTTCGGAGCCGCATGCAGCTGTCCACAGACTACACCAGGTCATCGTTCTCAGTCAGCCTTGGTCAGGAGTCAGCTTCAGAGCCGCATGCAGCTGTCCACAGACTACACCAGGTCATCGTTCTCAGTCAGCCTTGGTCAGGAGTCAGTTTCCTAGTCGCATGCAGCTGTCCACAGACTACACCAGGTCATCGTTCTCAGTCAGCCTTGGTCAGGAGTCAGTTTCCTAGCCGCATGCAGCTGTCCACAGACTACACCAGGTCATCGTTCTCAGTCAGCCTTGGTCAGGAGTCAGCTTCAGAGCCGCATGCAGCTGTCCACAGACTACACCAGGTCATCGTTCTCAGTCAGCCTTGGTCAGGAGTCAGTTTCAGAGCCGCATGCAGCTGTCCACAGACTACACCAGGTCATCGTTCTCAGTCAGCCTTGGTCAGGAGTCAGTTTCCTAGTCGCATGCAGCTGTCCACAGACTACACCAGGTCATCGTTCTCAGTCAGCCTTGGTCAGGAGTCAGTTTCCTAGCCGCATGCAGCTTTCCACAGACTACACCAGGTCATCGTTCTCAGTCAGCCTTGGTCAGGAGTCAGTTTCCTAGCCGCATGCAGCTGTCCACAGACTACACCAGGACATCGTTCTCAGTCAGCCTTGGTCAGGAGTCAGCTTCCTAGCCGCATGCAGCTTTCCACAGACTACAGCAGGACACAGTTCTCAGTCAGCCTTGGTCAGGAGTCAGTTTCGGAGCCGCATGCAGCTTTCCACAGACTACACCAGGTCATCGTTCTCAGTCAGCCTTGGTCAGGAGTCAGTTTCAGAGCCGCTTGCAGCTGTCCACAGACTACACCAGGTCATCGTTCTCAGTCAGCCTTGGTCAGGAGTCAGCTTCGGAGACGCATGCAGCTGTCCACAGACTGCACCAGGTCATCGTTCTCAGTCAGCCTTGGTCAGGAGTCAGTTTCCTAGCCCCATGCAGCTGTCCACAGACTACACCAGGACATCGTTCTCAGTCAGCCTTGGTCAGGAGTCAGCTTCAGAGACACATGCAGCTTTCCACAGACTACACCAGGACATCGTTCTCAGTCAGCCTTGGTCAGGAGTCAGCTTCCTAGCCGCATGCAGCTGTCCACAGACTACACCAGGTCATCGTTCTCAGTCAGCCTTGGTCAGGAGTCAGCTTCAGAGCCGCATGCAGCTTTCCACAGACTACACCAGGTCATCGTTCTCAGTCAGCCTTGGTCAGGAGTCAGTTTCAGAGACGCATGCAGCTGTCCACAGACTGCTGCATGGCGTCACGTATGTGCGTACAGTATTCACATGCACCCGGGGAGGGGGGGTAACTGATAGGCTCTGCCGGCCTCAGCCCTCAGCCAATGGGACGGCGAGCCAGGGGCGTGGCTCTGGGGTTGCATAGCAACATCTGGAAGGTTCCAGGGGAGAGGCTGAGGATTGGCTGGGGGTGTCACGTGGGCCAGGGGATATGAGGAGTGGAGAGAGACAGTTTGAGGTCAGTGCAGAGGTCGCCAACGGGTTTTGACTCCTTACCCCTCGTACCCGTACCTGGCCGCACCAGGGTCGCAAACGGGTACCCGTACCCTACCCGTACCCAGCCGGGTATCGGGTAGGGTACGGGTATCGGGTGCCCGATTGCGACCTCTGGGATGAAGCCATGTTGCAGGCGCGGGTGGGTTGATTCTAGGAACTTGAATTGTGAGAAGAGACAAGACGTTGGGAAATGAGTGACAAACGGTGACTCACCAGTGACTCACGGTCTACCCGTACCCGGCCGCACTAGGGTCGCAAACGGGTACCCGTACCCGGCCGGGTACCGTCACACCCCTTGTGTGTTGGGGACTGCGCCTCGTAACGAAGTTTATTCGTCAATAATTACAACACTACACTGTTTTGAAATTGATCTGGGATTACGTTGAGAGCCAGCGGAGGGATGTGAGTGTTGTGGCGATGTTTTGTTGACGGATGTGGACGAGAAGCCTGCCAGGGGCATCTTGGCTCATGTGGAGTTTGAGGATGTGAGGAGGAGATGTGAAGGTGTGGAAGGCAGCTGGGGTAAGGAAATCGGTGGGCGTGGGAAATGTGCAGGTGGAGGTATGAGAGTTTCCTCCAGAGTTGGTAGTAGCAAGAGAACTCGTGCTCAGGATCCGTTACGACTGCAAGGTTTCTCACACTCTTTGTGCGTTTGGCTGAAAAAATAAACAAGTGGTGAAGATGATTGAAACTTTAAAATTAATAAAAGTAAAATAAAATAAAAATCACGACGTTTCGGAGGCAACACAAGCTTCCGTCTTCAGGTGGAACCGTCACAGCCACGACAGCCGTATCAAGTAGATGAGAGATTGCAAGAGCTACCACTCCGTTTATATAATGGTTGGTTTAATAAAAAGTGTGGTAGCTCTTGCAATCTCTCATTTACTTGATACGGCTGTCGTGGCTGTGACGGCTCCACCTGAAGACGGAAGCTTGTGTTGCCTCCGAAACGTCGTGATTTTTATTTTATTTTACTTTTAGTAATTTTAATGTTTTGACTTTACCGAAAAAACCTAAGAATATGAATCCTTGCAGTCACAAAAGCTTCAAATCTAGAATTATTAAAGCTACGGTGGTAAAAATGTGCTTTTCATGCTTTTCCCAGTTGGTATGGACATCCATCAGAGCTTCACTCCATCCTACTCGAGCCCACGCACCCCTGGGCTCTATGGGAATGAGAGGCATCTGCAGGCCCAATCCCTGCATGCTGCTACCTGTGAGAAACCAAAGACGTCTGTCTCAGCAGCAGGAGCAGCAGCAGCACAAGCAGCCGGCAATGGTTTGTGTCGCCTCGTTTCTACATGCATTTTAGATCAATTGGTTTATTTCCACCGTATGCATTCGATCCCATAGAATCAATTCAGAATGCACCATCTCATATTTACAACACTGATATAATCCTTAAATTGTGCAATTGTTCCCACCAACTCATGCTGTGGCAAGTGTGAAGTAATATACACAGGGGACGTTCAGTGTGGTGCATTCTATTTTGTTGTGGAGTTGACCTGTACACATACAACTTTACTGCAAAGATAATCTCTTGCGTGCTAACGAGTTCCAAACGGACACAGTGGCCATTGACCCCCCCTCCCTCCCCTCTTCCTTGAGATGCCGAAAATTAATATTTTATTCTCAGAGAAAATACATTAACTATATGTATTTTTCTTCTTGGTTCTTTCGGTAAAGTCACGTAGAAGGGAAATAATAAAATAATAAAAATAAAACATAATAAAATAATTCTCACGACGTTTCGGCCACAACGCAAGCAGCCGTCTTCAGGTGAAGAACAGGGCTGTCGGAAAGACAGCGTCTGAATGAAAGACTGTATTCCCGACAGACCTGTTCTTCACCTGAGGACGGCTGCTTGCGTTGTGGCCGAAACGTCGTGAGAATTGTATTTTATTATGTTTTATTTGCATTATTGTATTATTTCCCTTCTACGTGACTTTACCGAAAGAACCAAGAAGATGAATCCCTGCAGTCACGAAAGCTTTACATCGAAAAATATATATTGTATACGACTTTAGGGACCCAATTGTAAAGTTCAGGACTGTCCCCCCCACCCACCCACCCTCCTTGGAACATTTTAAGACATGCTTCTGCACACGAGAGTATTTTACATATCTCAACTCTTTCACTCGACCTAAAATATGCTGAAAGTAATGTTCATTAAAGTTCAGCATTTGATCGTATGAGTCACGTAATGTGTAATGTGTCGTTCTAAAATACGTTTACAGTGAAGCAACTTGCTGGCTTGGATGAATCCAAGAGAGGCTGTCTTCATAACTGCAAAAACAAACAATCGTGTGGGCACGAGTGCTGTGAGTACCTTCATCACGATGAAACACACTTACAAACAGGGGCGGTTTCTTCATTAGGGCGATTGGGCGACGCACCACCAATGTCATTCAACCACAGAGTCACGCTAGCCGTCACTGTGCCTCTGGATATAGTCCAATCAGCGTCATGTCACGTTCTGTGGAGTACCGCCTCTTTTTGGGCGATTTCCCTCCGGCTGAGAATCGCCCCGAGTGTTCCCGTAGACTTACATTCTAAGATGTTTTTTTTCGAACGGCGGGTGCTGCAATGCATTCTCTACGGCTTCCAGGAGGGCTCGCCCTAACGTGCTCACGTCATCATACGTGCTTACGTCATCATACGTAAGCCACCTAGTGGAATCTTTAATAAAAGAAACTGAGTGGATTGTAATAATAGTGAGTATAGAAACAAACAAGATGTATTGTAAGAGTCACTTTATTTGTCATTAATATTAAAGAAGTGAAGTTGCCTTTACATGCTTAAGCTGTTAATTTATCCATTGCATGGGTGGACCTTATCCTTATCAATCATCGAGACATTTGCCCCCCCTGAGAGATTTTGCAGGAGCCGCCACTGCTTACACAATTGTTACTACAACACCCGATTGTGATTATGTTGGGTTGCGTATCTTATCATGTTTCATCAAACGAGGACCAATACACTTTTGGTCATGCGCCAGCATTGATTCAAGCAAATCTGACTTCGCTGATGAGACACTGAACGGAAACAACTGGTGCAGCGTTTGATTGTATTGAACACATTTTGCTGTAATGATGCACTCCCAGAATGGAGGTTTCGGCAGATGGGATGTACACAATGACTTTAATGTTCGATTTAAAGCTGTTTAAAGCTTTCGGCTGTTCTTCGGACGCTGTCTTTCCGACAGCGCTGTTCTTCACCTAAGGACGGCTGCTTGCGTTGTGGCCAAAACGTCGTGAGAATTTTATTTTACGAAGTTTTATTTTTATTCTTTTATTATTTCCCTTCTACGTGACTTTACCAAAAGAACCATGAAAATGACTTGAATGTTCACGCAGAGGGACAGACACGGATTGCGTACCGTGTGTGCGTATTGATGTTGTTTGCAGGCTGGTAATGGCGTGTGTAAAGTGATGCGATTTGACACGATTCGATTCACGACGGCATTCTTTTTGTCAAGTTTCTGCTGCCTCATCCGCACGGTTTGTGTCTCGCACTTTCTGTCCGTGCGGTGTCGTTTTCAACGTTAGCCAGAGCGAGACATTTGTATCTAATTTTCATCAATCAAACTCAATCGTCGCTAATTCTCTCATGGTACAATTTGTTACCTGTATCATAGGCCTAATAAATAACTAACTATACTTTAGTTTTCTACGTTGTTGTTTAGTAACTGCAGCTACATACTATTAACATTCTTTTCCTTTGTTAATGCTACTGCACCCCCCTTGGTGCTGTTGATCCTGCATAATGCATGGGCATAATATGACTATGAAACCCCCCCCCCCCACCCACCTCCTACGCATTTCCCATGAATATGCTAAATTCCTCTTGATATGCACATTCTTTTTGTTAAGGCGCTCTTGCACCTCCAACGCAGCGTATATATTAGCTCCTAGCTTGGAAATGTCTCATTCTTCACCTGAGGACGGCTGCTTGCGTTGTGGCCGAAACGTCGTGAGAATTATTTTATTTTATTATGTTTTATTTTTATTATTTTATTGCTTCCCTTCTACGTGACTTTACCAAAAGAACCAAGAAGATGAACTCGTAGAGTCTTTGTTGTGCTGCTCAAATGAGCATTCAAGGCGATGCTCATTTCCTGATGACGGCCGTGGTCCAGTAAGTGCTGATTCTACATCGTGCTGTGGTGGGGTGAGTCTGATTCACGTAGGTAAAAAATTTAAATAAATTAAATCACGACGTTTCGGAGGCAACACAAGCATCCGCCTTCAGGTGGAACCGTCACATCAAAATGACCGCGTCAGTAATTTAATGTATTTAATTTCTCACCTACGTGATTTTGCCGAAAAAAATTAATCCTTGCGGTCACGAAAACTTCAAATCCAGAAGTGATTCACAGGAGTCTGATTCTGTTGTGTTCCCCACAACTTGATACACATTTTACTGACCCTGAAGAATGTCGTAGGCTGAACCAACCCGCCCACTAGGATCTGAACTCGGATCCTTCCAACTGTAATATGAGAATATATCCGGCTCACTGACGTATCACAACTCATCATGGGGATTGGTTCTGCTGACTTTGGCCTCAGCCAATGGGGAGACGAGTCAGGGGCGTGGCTCTGACGTGATGGGAAGGTGACAGCTGCAAGTAGATGATTGGTTCTGCTGGCTTTGGCCTCAGCCAATGGGTGGACGAGTTAGGGGCGTGGCCCTGACGTCATGGTGGCAGCTGCAAGTAGATGATTGGTTCTGCTGGCTTTGGCCTCAGCCAATGGGGAGACGAGTCAGGGGCGTGCCCTGACGTGATGGAAGGGTGACATCTGCAAGTAGATGATTGGTTCTGCTGGCTTTGGCCTCAGCCAATGGGGAGACGAGTCAGGGGCGTGGCCCTGACGTGATGGAAGGGTGACAGCTATGGGGATTGGGTCTGCTGGCTTTGGCCTCAGCCAATGGGGAGACGAGTTAGGGGCGTGGCCCTGACGTGATGGTAACATCTGCAAGTAGATGATTGGTTCTGCTGGCTTTGGCCTCAGCCAATGGGGAGACGAGTTAGGGGCGTGGCCCTGACGTGATGGTAACATCTGCAAGTAGATGATTGGTTCTGCTGGCTTTGGCCTCAGCCAATGGGGAGACGAGTTAGGGGCGTGGTCCTGACGTGATGGTAACATCTGCAAGTAGATGATTGGTTCTGCTGGCTTTGGCCTCAGCCAATGGGGAGACGAGTCAGGGGCGTGGTCCCGGGAGCTAACGAGGGAGCCTGGAAGATTCCATGGAGGCTAACGAGGATTGGCAGAAGCGTACCACGTGACCCGGGTGCTAAGTAGGGGCGGAGAGAAACGACACGTGGTCAGAACGGGAACCAACGGAGGAAGGGGCCACGCGGGAGCGGGGCTCCGAGTTGCCACGTGGCCGTGAGTCTCTCTCTGTCTGTCTGTCCAATACACGTTGCCTATCAGCAGCGTCAAGTAGCTGTAACCTATTCTTAGGTTTTTTCGGTTAAGTCACGTCGGTAAAAAAACATTAAAAAGTAAAATAAAATAATGTTTTTTTACCTACACGTGACTTTACCGAAAAAACCTAAGAATATGAATCCTTGTAGTCACGAAAGCTTCACATCTTGAAGTAGCTGTAACCTAAAGTGAATTAAAGACGGATTCCAGAAGTCGTTTCAAAGAGCTTTAGTACACAACTGTGAGCGGCTCACCGGTAATGTGAAAGCGTCTGGTGAGTGCAGTGTTGTTGTTGTTGTTGCTACTCGCCTCTAAGCGCTTGTGCAGCCTGGTGAGTGCAGTGTTGTTGTTGTTGTTGCTACTCGCCTCTAAGCGCTTGTGCAGCCTGGTGAGTGCAGTGTTGTTGTTGTTGTTGCTACTCGCCTCTAAGCGCTTGTGCAGCCTGGTGAGTGCAGTGTTGTTGTTGTTGTTGCTACTCGCCTCTAAGCGCTGGTGCAGCCTGGTGAGTGCAGTGTTGTTGTTGTTGTTGCTACTCGCCTCTAAGCGCTTGTGCAGCCTGGTGAGTGCAGTGTTGTTGTTGTTGTTGCTACTCGCCTCTAAGCGCTGGTGCAGCCTGGTGAGTGCAGTGTTGTTGTTGTTGTTGTTGCTACTCGCCTCTAAGCGCTTGTGTCACGCCGTTTTAACTTCCAGGTAAAGGAAATGTGGCCAGGTCAACGCCGCTGGCGCCTCGCACCTCGAGCGCTCACGTGCGGAGCTACTTGAGTGAACTCAAAAGCAAGAGCGTGAGTCTAACCGGCGTTCCAGATAACAAAAGGCTCAAGGTACGAGTGGAAATGTTGCGGTGAAACATCGCACACTTCTACAGCCCTCACAGCTGTTACCGCGGTGGTGCTCGTACTGCGCCTCGTGTAGTTTTGTGTAAATTGGCATGCACGTAGCGAAACACGCGTACGCAAACATTTAGAACTGATAAAGTCACGTAGAAGGGAAATAATGAAGTAATAGAAATACAACTTTATTAAAATAAAATTCTCTTCTATGTGACTTTCCCAAAAGAACCAAGAAGATGAATCCCTGCAGTCACGAAAGAAGCTTTAAATCGAAATTTAACATGCCAATGTTGTAATAATTGTCATTTTATTGGAAACAAACCGTTTCAGATTGTGTTTGCGTCCAGCACTATAATTGTAAACCCTCAATATACCTGAAGCATCTTCTTAGTTCTTTCGGTAAAGTCACGTAGAAGGGAAGTAATAAAATAATAAAAAAAATAAAACATAATAAAATAAAATAATTCTCACGACGTTTCGGCTACAACGCAAGCAGCCGTCTTCAGGTGAAGAATGAGACAATGCCAAGCTAGGAGCTTATATATAAGCTGCGTTGGAGGTGGAGGAAAGAGCGCCTTAACAAAAGAATGTGCATATGAAGAGGAGTTTAGCATATTCATGGGAAATGCGTAGGAGGTGGGTGGGGGGGTTTCAAAGTCATATTATGCCCATGCATTATGCAGGATCAACAGCACCAAGGGGGGGTGCAGGGATTAGCAGTAACAAAGGAAAGGAATGTTAATGATATGTAGCTGCAGTTACTCAACCACCACGTAGAAAACTAAAGTATAAACTACATAAAAAACTAAAGTATAAATAGCATAGCACCATCAGTATACTTACTATACTCTACACTAAGCTGAGTTACTAACAGCAAGTAATACATTACAATTCTACGTCGTAAAAATTATATAATATGCTTCCATCTAAACTTTATTCTACTGCATCTATTACCTGAAGCATGTTGTGAACATCCTGTTGCTGTGCCTTGTGCTGAGTGCATTCATAGGTTTGCTCTATAAAGGGGGGAATCTCAGTGAACTTATCCAAGTTTGCTTACGCCCCGAAGCCTCAGTGTGGACCGCATGACGACAGGTACGTTTGACAGTAAATAAAGTGTGCTGAATATTTAAAATGCAAACGGTGATTAATACATTTTAATCATGCTGAGTCATACAGCGTTAAGGTGTGTTGTGCTTGTATAGGCATGGCGAGGCTTGACATTTTAAACGCGTGTGTCTTTATTGCAGATGCAGTGGTCCTTCTGAGCTGCTGTCGCCTCAAGGCGAATTGGGTAATGTGGTTGTGTCTGTAGATGATGGCTGTGTGCTCAACTTAAAATGCTACAATCTTAATTTTGGAGCTTTCGTGACTGCAGGAGTTATTCTTTGGTTCTTTCGGTAAAGTCACGTATAACGATAAAGTAATATATTAAATAATAGCATACTACGACGTTTCGATTGCAACACAAGCAATCAACATCAGGCATAAAAGAAATAGCGACAAAAATGTAACCAGAAAAATATAGACAGACATATTCTTAGGTGTTTTCGGTAAAGTCACGTAGGTAAAACATCTCTCTCTCCCGATACGTTCCATTCATTGGCTACCACATTCTGATGAGCTCCCCCCCCCCTCAACTCGCTTTTAAGGGATTACATCTTGAATCATTGCCTCACTTGATGCAGCTGATCTGGCTGTGACTGTCCCACCTGATGACGGAGACTTGTGTTGCCTCCGAAACGTCGTGATCTTTATTTTATTTTATTATTTTTTATTAATTTTGATGTTTTACCTACACGGTGACTTTACCGAAAACACCTAAGAATATGATTCCTTGCAGTCACGAAAGCTTCAAGTCTAGAATTATAGACAGACATATAAGCAGACAGATATCGCCAAGATACACAGAGAGAGAACAACACGTATCGGCACACAGAGAGAGATCGTCTCTGTGACGAGGCCTTAAATAGAGAGAGGGGGGGGGGGCGGAGAGAGGGAGGGGGCAGAGAAAAAAAATTAGCAAGTCAATGAGTGGAAAATTAGGAGAATACACACTAAAATTAGATAACCTAGCAAAATATCGAAATGTAATGTAATGCAACACAGAGAGTCGGTCAACACACAACGCATAGCCTGGTCGATTACGTATTTCAAAGATTGCCTAAGTTAGAATTTAAGTGTGAAAATTCCAAAGAGAGGACACAGGCAGAGAGAGAAAACAAAAATCAGAGAGAGAGAGGAAAAAGATAAACTTAAAACTTCCCCGTAGAAGTGGTTCAATCTTAATTTTGTAGCTTCCGTGACTGCTACACTTGTCATGTTGATAACTCTGTGTCGTCTGAGCTCTTAGCCTACTAAAACAATGACGGCAATTCATCGCGATGTTTATGGAAGTCAGTTTGAACGTTTGTTAAAATAAATGAAATAACCCCATGTGATTTGTCAAAACAAGTATAATCACTCTTTGTGCCCTCACTGTTTGGGCTGCCCTGTATATTGATGCACTCTGGATAGGGATACACATTTACACGGCGCAATGTACAGCAAGAATTTCTAGATTTGAAGCTTTCGTAACTGCAATGATTCATATTCTTAGGTTTGTTTCGGTAAAGTCACGTAGGTAAAACATTAAAATTAATTAAAGATAAATAAATATAATAAAAATTACTTTTATTAATTTAAATTTCTACCTACGTGACTTTACCGAAAACAACCTAAGAATACAGCAAGAAGCTTTGTAATGCCGCTCGACGAAACATGGTGGTGTGTGTGTGTGTGCAGCTGTGACTGCTGGTGACAAGAGTGTGGATGACACGTCGGGGTTCCAGAGAGTTGCCAAGGGGGGTGGACAAACTCCGATCTCCCTTGAGCGTCGCTCATGTTACGGTTCCAGCATTTCAACATCAAGACGACAGTCGGTGCGTCTCTCTCTCTGATCACCGCTCTCACCACGCACATTCTACATGCAAACATTAGTCAGCGACATCATCCGAAATGAATTTCGATTCAAAGCTTCTTTCGTGACTGCAGCAGGGATTCATCTTCTTGGTTCAGTGGTACCGCGTTCGCCACTTGTTGCAAAGATCAGTGGTTAGCATCCAGCAGACCACCCTGGTTATAACTACGGCCTGTATTAACAATAACATACTATGCGTTGTCTGCTTCACTGTGACCACGTGAAGTCATTCGAAGAGTAGGTCATTGTGTGCCAGCGGAATGGTCAAAACTTCGTGCAAATTACTAAATTTCAAACAAAGCGATCGTCACCCCTTCTGCAAAAATGTAGCAAGGCCTTCCTGAAACGGTCGATATTAAGTGAGGATGTTCTGGGTAATCAAGTGTAATGTAAACAAATGAATTGGGATTCTTGGTTCTTTCGGTAAAGTCACGTAGAGGGGAAATAATAAAATCCAGAGGTGGGACAAAGTCATTGTTATGCAAGTCCAAGTCGAGTCTGAAGTCATCAAATTCATGACTCGAGTCTGACTCGAGTCCAAGTCACATGACTCGAGTCCACACCAGCTCAGAGGTGGGACAAAGTCATTGTTATGCAAGTCCAAGTCGAGTCTGAAGTCATCAAATTCATGACTCGAGTCTGACTCGAGTCCAAGTCACATGACTCGAGTCCACACCAGCTCAGAGGTGGGACAAAGTCATTGTTATGCAAGTCCAAGTCGAGTCTGAAGTCATCAAATTCATGACTCGAGTCTGACTCGAGTCCAAGTCACATGACTCGAGTCCACACCAGCTCAGAGGTGGGACAAAGTCATTGTTATGCAAGTCCAAGTCGAGTCTGAAGTCATCAAATTCATGACTCGAGTCTGACTCGAGTCCAAGTCACATGACTCGAGTCCACACCAGCTCAGAGGTGGGACAAAGTCATTGTTATGCAAGTCCAAGTCGAGTCTGAAGTCATCAAATTCATGACTCGAGTCTGACTCGAGTCCAAGTCACATGACTCGAGTCCACACCAGCTCAGAGGTGGGACAAAGTCATTGTTATGCAAGTCCAAGTCGAGTCTGAAGTCATCAAATTCATGACTCGAGTCTGACTCGAGTCCAAGTCACATGACTCGAGTCCACACCAGCTCAGAGGTGGGACAAAGTCATTGTTATGCAAGTCCAAGTCGAGTCTGAAGTCATCAAATTCATGACTCGAGTCTGACTCGAGTCCAAGTCACATGACTCGAGTCCACACCAGCTCAGAGGTGGGACAAAGTCATTGTTATGCAAGTCCAAGTCGAGTCTGAAGTCATCAAATTCATGACTCGAGTCTGACTCGAGTCCAAGTCACATGACTCGAGTCCACACCAGCTCAGAGGTGGGACAAAGTCATTGTTATGCAAGTCCAAGTCGAGTCTGAAGTCATCAAATTCATGACTCGAGTCTGACTCGAGTCCAAGTCACATGACTCGAGTCCACACCAGCTCAGAGGTGGGACAAAGTCATTGTTATGCAAGTCCAAGTCGAGTCTGAAGTCATCAAATTCATGACTCGAGTCTGACTCGAGTCCAAG